TGTGTGTGTGTGTGTGTGTGTGTGTGTGTGTGTGTGTGTGTGTTCAGAGAAAGAGAGAGGATATGTTGAAACTTCACATTTTGATATTTTTGTTAGACAATGTTTTCCATGATTGTGTAGCAATAGTTTTTTTGTTTTACCTGCCCGTGTGTGTGTGTGTGTGTGTGTGTGTGTGTGTGTGTGTGTCCAATATCTTTGCAAAGAACAAGTCATCCCAGGCAAGGAACTTTGCTATGGGGATCTTCTGATGCAGGAAGCACAGCCCGATTCTGAATAACTAAATTATAAATTAATCAGTAACGTTCAGGGAAGTATCTGGACTTTTCTTAATTAAGAGTTCCTTTTAAAAAAAAAAATTCTCAAAGGAAAGTTTTGGCTGTGGGTCCAAAGAGTCGGTCCTGTATGACATCACGGAGATGGACAATATTGGATAGTTATAGCTTATTGGAAATTCTGCTGAACTCAGAGTCCCAACTCCCTGAGTTCTGACCCTGGTTTTTCTACTTGCCCAGTTTGTCTTCGGCTAACTCGCTTAGCCTCTCTAAGCCTCACACTCTTTCTCTGTACAGCAGAGACAACAGTACTTCTTGTGCTGCCCGCCCCACAGAGGTGCTAAGAGGCATAAAGGAGACAATGTGGACCACATCAACGGATTGCCTTATCCTCAGGTTGGGTTCATCCAATGAGGAGGTGGCAGTAGATGGGAAAGCAGAAGAAAATCGTGGCTGGGGAGAGATCTCCTAGCCTGGTGTCCTCCTTCCCGTTCACTGTGGATTGGCCACACCCTCTACTGAAGGTGACAACTCCTGGAAGACGCCCTTCTCTTTCCTTACTCCCATTCTTTCTCGTGGAAGAACTACTAGTGGTTCCTTTTCTGCGGCTTCTGGTAACTGATCCCTTTCCCAGACACTACAGACCTCAGGCTGACAGCACTGTCATTAGCACTATCCTCTGTGGCTTAGCTGACCCTTGCCCATGCCTGGTCTGCTGGTGGAGCTGTTAGCTGCCGTCGAGCTGGTTGACCCTCTGTACAACAGAACAAACGCGGCCGGGTCCTGTGCCACCCTCACAATTGTTAAGCTTGAGCCCATTTTTAACAGCCTCTGTGTCAATCCATCTTGCTTGGAGTCTTCCTCTTTTTTCTGACCCTCTACTTTACCAAGGGTTATTTCCTTTTCCAGGGAACATTTAATATTCTGGCTCCAAAATGGATGTTTTTTTCCTGAGAGTCCATGGTATCTTCAATATTCTTTCCCAACTCCAGAATTCAAATTCATCAATTTAATATAAAGGCCATGCTTATTAATTTTCTAGCTTTCACACATACATGAGACAATTGACAATACTATGGCTTGTATAAGACACACCTTAATCCTCCAAGTGACATTTTTGCTGCGATATGGAGTTAGCCTTCATTAGCCCAATATCCCTCTATCAAGAGTGCTTTAAAAGTTAGTACCTGGGGCTAGCCAAAGACAGTATTAACAGAAAATCGTTATGCCCTAGGGAGATGATCAATAAGACTCTACATAAATTAACAAGGAGATTTTGAAAGGGAGCCAAAGGAAAATAAAACAAACATAGCTGCAGGAATGGGTTTTGGGCTCATACTACATCCTGCCTCCAATTTAAGAACAAAAGGACAACTAATTTTTACATCATGGCCCTGCTCAATATGCACCCTCAGGAAGGGAACACAGAAGATATGAATGCTATAGCAAAGTGTGGTGAAAAAATCAGATGGTTCCCAGTTATTTGATAAGATAGTGTCTGGGGTCTTAAAGGCTTCTTTCCAAACAAGCAGCCATCTAGGTGAGATGTCAACTAAGTCCACATGGAAGAAGCACACTAGCATTAGTGACCGAAGGCTTTTAAATTATATAATCTAAAGCTGAAGTAGGGAATAATATCAGAGCCTAAATTTTAGGAATCTTGTTTGCAGAAGGCTATGGATCACAGTGGGAGCCCAAGATATATTTGTGAGACCCACACTGGTACTAAGCCTCTGGTAATTTCCCTCTATCCATAATAGAGGGATGGGGAGAAACTGGTTACCAATCAGAGGTACATCGGAGAGATGACTATAGATCAAAATGATAAACCTGACTTGAATGGTTCAAACCTCGTCAGTTGATATCCCCCTCTGATAAACATTAGGCCTGGTCTGGTTTTCATAGTTGTCTGTGTTTTTATTTTTTGTTGTTGTTTGTTTGTTTATATTGGGGTCTATTGCAGATGTGCTCTGTCATTGGGGGTGACCCTCTTACAGTTTTGTAGTTTGTTTTCCAGCATCTGAGCCCCAGGATGGGGGTATCCATAGGGATAGCAGGTAGAATACAGACTTCTAGGGGGCCTCCTGGTGGGAAGGTGGGTGGTAAAAGCGAGCTGATTCAAGTTCAAGATGGAAAACAATGTTTGGAAACTGGTGGTGGTAGCAATTGTACAATAATGTTTGATGTGATTTCCATGGAATGATATGACATCTATATTAACACCTAATAAAATTATTTTGATAAAAAAGAATAATCATTCAAAAAATGCCCAACAATAAATTTTTTTTAAAAAAAAAGAAAACTTCAATTCAAAAGAGAGCAGAAAGTAATAAATAAAAGTTAAAAATGGGTCAAAAGGAAAAATAAATGGTAAGATGTGAAAGTGTAATCTAACTATATCTGCAGTCGTCCATTTTAATTCACTCTCTCTTGGGGCAAGACTACTCACACCTTTGGTCAATAGTAGCAATTCAATGGTGACTTAGTCCATGTGGGGGCTCTGTAAATGGATTTTGGGGTTTTACTATAATTCATAGCTTTCTACAAAACAGGTTCTTAGAATATAAGATCTAATATAGTCTTCCCCTCTGATCTTGGATTTTCTTGTAAAACAGAGTTCTTAAAACTTCCCTCAATCAGAGAGTCAGGGGTTCAGGGTTTTGGAAAATTTCACGTTAGAAGTGATAAGGGCATAGAAGGTGAATGATGACTACTTCCCCTTCCTCCAATTCATTCTACTTCAGAGCTTCAACTGGTTAGGGGGAATTTGCATGGCTTATTCCTAGAAGACCCATCAAATTTTCCATTTATAAAGTTATGGGGGAGGGGGCGAAGTTATGGGAGCAATCCTAGACTTAATCCTTACCCAGTGTAGGTTTACCAGCCAAGAGTTTTGGTCAGTCTTGACCTAATCTACCAGACAGTAACCCATTTCGATGAACCATGACCTACCTTGGAGATCTCAGTGAGGGCTCTAGGGATCCAGGGGTTTATATCCCCTTGAGGCAGCAGCTTCTTCAGACCCTGAATGGTTTGGGCTTGGAGTCGTGCACATGACCCAATGTGCTCGTTCAGGTAGAGTTCACAAATCCTGTCCCCGAGGAGGTGCCGAAAGGCAGCATTTCCATTCTTCCTGTTACTCATCAGGACCCCAAGGAAATGGTGCAAGTCCTGCCATAAATCCAGGAGGTTAGCCTCCATTTTCATATTCTTTTTCTTCAAGTAGTCCCGGAAGGGATTCCCTGCATATGCGTCGGCGCTTAAGGCCCAGTGAGTATACCCCAAGGAGAGGTTCTGCTTGATTGCTTTCTTCAGTGTTGCCTGGGAGGAGTCATTGATGATGGGAGTGACTGTCCTCATGCGATGGGAGAACTTTGTTTCAAAGAGGCCCTCCATGTGTAACCGGCTATTGGCTTTGTTCTTTGTATGGGACATCTTGGTATCAATGTTGTTTTCCAAGAAATTAATAATTTTCTCTTTTGAATGGGTCACATGTAAGGGAGGCATTTGTATAACTGCCTTCTCCTGAGGACCCATCTTCCATGAGGGCATACTGGTGGTGGCTGGCTCAGAAGGAATGGATAACCCTTCTAATTCCAGTGACCAAGAGTGGACTTCTATTAACTGCCACATCTTTCTCTTGCTCTTCCGAGTTGAGTACCGCTTTGGGTGGTGGTGTGGCTTCTCAATGCTCATGTTCAGAGGAAGCTCTCCAACATGAGAACAGCAAACACCACAAAGACGTGTCTCATATTCTTGCATCAGACCCTGACACTCTTTCTCTTTGGCCAAGTTTACTTTGGCATGGGTATAAAAGTTGGGGAGCCAGTAACTCTGGAGTTTGAACAGAGCCATCTTCTGCATGTGGCTCAGGATCTCTCTCCTGGTGGTTGACTGGTTTGGTTGCCAGATGGAAAGGTTCAGAAGACCCTCTGAAAAGAACACAAGGACAAAGGGTGACAAAGATGTGATGATGGTGATGATATTGGACAGATCGTGAATTTTCCCAAATGTTTCTATATATAGCATTTTATTAGTTCTTCATGCAGGTCCAGTGAGGACACAGTTTTCAGGGTTTCCCAGTACCCAGTGGACCCTTTCTCTAATTACCTTCTTTATTGGCAGAGTGCCTACATGGATTAAGCCTCTGATGAATACCCTCTTATCATACTCAAGGGATGTGAATAACTTTGCTATCAACAAAGACTATTGTAAACTTGATTATGGCAGCTGTAATTAAGTTAAAATGTAATACCTGATCATTTTATCTCCCTTTTAAACCATTTTAAATCTGTTCTAGCTTTTATTGTGTCCTGCTTTTTTCAGCAGTTTTTTTCCTCTGGTTTATTTTAATATTGTTATTGATCTTTCTTTCTTTCCTTCCTTCCTTCCTTTCTTTCATATCTAATTGCTGGTTTTGATTTTTTCTTGTATGTTTTCCAGTATATGAAGCTCAGGATAGGCATGTTTATAGAGACAGTCCATTGAGGTTCTTAGGCTGTTTTGCTTAGTTGTTGTTGTTGTTAGTTTTGTTTTTGTTCTTCTGTATGTGAAATCCAAGATAGGTAAATCTATAGAGAAGTAAGTGGATTAATGGTTCCCTGGGGGCATGGCAGGGGAAGTTGGGAGGAAATAAGGAGCTAATAATGAGAGAAGAAGATGTTCTAAAATTGATTGTGGTGATGATTGTACAACTCCTTTGATGTGATTGAACTATTAAATTGTATGATATGTGAATTATATGTTAATAAACTGTTCAAAAATTTACACAAAAAATAAAATAAGCCACTTAATGTGATTCCTGAAATGATTTTTTTTAGACTACTGAATATCATTGTAAAGAAAAGCAAAATGACCAAGAAAAAATTCTTCAGAACAAGAGACAGGTGCCTCTGAATGGGATTCCTTCGGCTCAGATCTAAGTGGAGAAAAGACTTGGACTGAAGAAGTTGAAGGAGTCCCTGCTGTTTGCTTATCTTAAGGTCATGGATCCTAAATGGCCGACATAATCAGAGCAAAGTGCAACTGAGCCCAGAGCGAAAACCTTCTGGAACACATTTCTATTGGGTTAAAAATCCCTCCTCACTGAGAAAAGTTAGATTTGGATAAATCTGATGTTCTAGATTAGGGGTTGTCAAAATGTTATTATAGGATGCCAGATAGTAAATACTGTAGGCTTTGCAAACCATGTAGTCTCTGTTACATAGGGTTTTTTTGCTTTCGCTTTTAACGGGGGGGAAAAAAAATCCTCTAGGAACATAAGCAATTTTAGTACACAGGCTTAGTGAACTTCATTTGTTTCATGGTCTGTACATTGTTCTAGAAATATTTTAGAACATGGGGGAACATGCAGACTCAGAAGGGAGTTAGTTGTTCAGCTACCCTCTCCAATATCTCTTCACTCCTTCCAGCTCACCTACACTGACTAGTGATACCTCTGGAAGAGGTGAGTGCCAGGCTAAAGGCAGCTGTTCTCCTGTAAACCTTCCCCGGCTAAGAGTTATCCCCGACTTCCCAGATAGGCAGAAGATAACATGTATGGGGTGTTGGGTGGGGGTGGGGGTGATCTACAAAACAAGGGACTGACGGTGATCAGATGTCTGGTAGATAGTCTTGCTATATCCCTCAAGAATGTCACTTCAGGTAAGTTTTGGAAGTCTTACTGATGTTCATGCTGCAGAGAGTCACCACCTTGGAGCCCTCCTGCAAATGGGTGGCCTTCAGTAAGAGGAGGAGAGACAGGTAGTAATCTCTCAGTCCCAGATCCATCTCATCGATGCTCAGGATCTTCTCAGCAAGGATCCAGAAATCCACCAGCTCTTCCCCTGTAGATCAGACAGGGTGGGTCAGAGAGGCAGCACACTCTTGTTCCTCCGGTAGACACACCTAGAAGCAGCTGCATAGACCTCTAGCCTGTCTGCTCTACTGACTCAGACATCACCACAAGTCACTTTTGGTTAAAACACCTTAATGCAGGGTAGAAAGAAGGGGATTAGC